CTTGTAGTGATATAGTACGTGGCCTGTCCTAGTTATCATAGTAAAGGAATCATTACAAATAGTAACGAAAACTAAACTATTATAACATACAATATTAAAGGAGAGAACATGTCATGCATATATATAAAACATAAATATAAAAGTAAAACAAATATTCTAATATAGACAAATTATATACATGTATATAGTAATCCCAAAATAATCTTATATCCTAGTGCTGGTTGAACACAACTATACAAGCTATAATAGTAGCATTGACACCAACCAAAAAAACATCACCAACCTCCAAGCATGCAACTGTTCCTCTAGCCTAGCCTTGATCTGCTCTCATGCAACATATGATCATCATATGTCCAAACCACAATGGAAAAGAAGGGTAAGTTAGAGTTCAAAAACATATAAGCATAGAAACAATTCTACATGATTTAACATCATATCATAACCATACATGGAAGCCAAACACTCCAAGGCAAACATGTATCTCATCCAAACAATGTCACACAAGACATCCAACAACGCATATGAAACATGCCTCACTTTACCATTAAGGAATTTTAGTTATGCTTGCAATGTTGAGATTTTATTTTTCTTTTATTTTCTTCCAAGTGCATGAGAATTAATTTGTATTAATAATGGATAGAACATCATTGTTGGTTTTATCATTGAAGTGTAAGAATTGTCTTTGCTAGGGTTTTTCCTTAGACCATTTGATCTTATCAAGAATTTACTCAAATTCTTGTAGCGATCCTCTACGCTTACCAAACATCATTGTTTGTGGCGCCTATCTTGTTCTTCCTTCTCCATTTTCTATTACCTTGTTTATTTTCAAATTGTCAATTCTGGATTTTTTTTCCTGAATTTCTTATTTTCATATCTCTCATTACTTGTCCTTTTTCGATGTTTCTTGGGTTCAAAATGCACTTCAAAATGTCTTATTTCACCTTGTTTTGGAATTGTTCCAATCTAATCTCTATAGGCTAAGATATGTAATTAAATTAAAATGTGTTTTGAGCTCAATTTGTGCACGAGTATCATCCTAAAAGGGTTTGAATTTGAAGTAGAGCAAGGGGATTCATATCAACATCATCCATACATGGCATATCAATGCTCTCCAAAATCATACATCATACAGTCATCTATATATATCATCCCAGAATGATATACATGGAATTATACTCCTCATACACCCTATTACATGTAATAGAATAAAATAATCTATTCATGTTCATCATACAATTTCACCAAAACACCAACATATCATCCAAGCATCATATGTTCGATGCAACATACCTCGTGCCCGACGCCATTAAGGCATGGAGCTCTCTGTCTTGCTCACACCCAATGCCATCCAAACAGTGCCTAGTGTAATCAAGGTGAAGACCCCTTGGGACCTCACGCCTAACGTGGCAAAATCCACGTCCAACCTCATATAAGGTGAATAGTCTCTGCCTGATTTACGCCTAGCATTACCTCAACGATGTCCAACATCACCAAGTTAGAGACTTTCATACTCTCACACCCAATGTCATTCAAACCTCGCACAGTGCCATCTCAACCTAAGACAAGTCTCTCTCCTCATGCTTGACGTCATCAATCTTGTGTTCGACATGATCGAGACAAAGATCTTTGGTTAGACATGTTCGACATCAATCTCTAATACTGGAATAAGTCACCAACCACCAACACCTAAGCTTAATACACATGTATGTTCATTATATATAATTAAAATTTATGTTAAATTATATATAAATAAATATTATATTTGAATATATAAATTATATTTAAAATTAGTATATATAAATATTTTTAAACATATAAATTATATTTTAGATTTATGATAAATAATTTGTATAGTAACAAAATTTTATTTTATTCATTGATAATTATTTTTAAATTTAATAAACATGATTTCATACAAAAAAAATAAAATAAAATGAGTGATCAAATTCTATTTTTACCTTACTTTTATTTACTAACTTTGGAAGAAAAAAAAAATTAAACACCAAGTGATTATTATTTTTTTTAAAAAAAAACAACATTTTCTTAAAATATATTGAAAGTCAAATTTTGATTTATGCTTGTTTTTTGGATTTTATTTCAGATTTCAATTATTATTTAGAAAATTTGAAGAAAATATATAAAAAAGTTTGTTTCTATTCTTAAGTAGGAATGAAAACATGATAAGACGAGTACGAGTTTCACTATTTTCGTTTCGTTCAATAATTTTTTTTCTTCAAATTTTCTCATTAAAAATAAGAACATTTTACACAAATAAAAGATTCATGTAGGAGTCAATAATAATAAATGAGCCTATATTAATGAATACGACTTTGAGATATACATAATTCCTTGTGTTCAGACTTCAGATGCATGTGATTGTGAAATATGAAAATTGCATCAGGGATAAAATATTTTTTTTAATGATGGACACTTTTCTCCTCCAAGGTTTCATTTATTTGCACATACGAGTGGAAAAATCAAGAATGGATAAGAATGAAAATTTTGAAATTTTGTTTTTTTAAAGGATATTTTTTACTCGATGCAATTCTATTTGAATTAAATAGAATTATTATAGATAATAAATTCTTAAAAATATTATATGGAACTGTACCACCCATTATTTTTGTTAGAGATAAGGTCAAAGAAGGGAAGATACTTTTCTCTCCTCAGTTAGAAAGGTCTTACCGCCAAAGAATCTGCTAAAAGTTTAGTCGTTTCACTAAAAAAAATCATTATTAATACAACATTAACCATAAAAACAACTAATAAAATTTTGTGATGCAATTAAGTAGATCATAATTTTTTTTATGCTGTGACTTCAATTGTGGTTGTAAAACACAAGTTAAATTACTGCCAATAAAATATAACTATATTTATATTTTAAAATATATTTTTTTTGAAAATTATGTATCGTTAATAGAAAACAATCTTAAGTTAAATTACACTATAACAAAACAAAACTCTTTTTTCGGTTATTTTATATAATTATATATTTAACATTTAAATTCGAAACTTCTAATTCAACTAAAACAATATTCATCACTTCGTTTATGCACTTGAGAGACAGTCGAAACAAATTTATTCTATACTACTTAAACAATTTTCTGAACTTGTGACTAAAATCTTAAATACTAAGGATTAAAATGTGTTTTAATTATATCTTAATTTAGTTAAAATTGATTTTAATTTTAATATTCTAAAAATGGTAATCTTAGTATTCTTATTTTTAAATAACATAAAAGAAAAAATCTGTTAACATCTCCATTTTTGCAGGTATAGTTATTAAGAAAAGTATTATTTTTTTATGGGTATTTACACATTCTCAAAATGGAGAGATATTTTGGAATTCAATTCATATATATTTTTATCAAATGTGTTTTATAAATTTTTATTTATTCTTTTATTCTAAATATTTGATTGTATTTCAATAAAATTCACAATTTTTAAAATATAAGGATGAAAATAAATTTTAATTAAATCTTGAGAATCCTAAAACATATTTTTACCAAATACTAAATAAGAATGAAAACATTATACTAGGTTTACTATTGTTAGGAAGATGCAAGCTTTGTCACTTAAATCTCAGGTGCCTCAAGAAAAAAATAAAATAAGAAAGCAAAGCAAAGCAGCATGAGCTAACAGCAAGGAGCTAGTTATATTATAGGTTGTAATGATGGGCAATGAAAGTAGGGAGTGTGATTCCTCCAAAAATAAGTTAGTTGAATCAAGAAGTGATGGTAAAGAAAAAAAAGAAAGAAAAAAAAAAGATGGAAGTCCATAGAGATAGAGTAGTGACTAGTGAGTGTGTCTGAGTCCAGTCAAAGGGAAAGAGGCTCCCA